GAGAGAGAGAGAGAGAGAGAGAGAGAGAGAGAGAGAGAGAGAGAGAGAGAGAGAGAGAGAGAGACTTATTCCACTACTTCTTCCACTTCGTCTTCTTCTTCTCCTCTTCGTCTTCTTCTTCTCCTCTTCCACTATCTTGTTCTTCTTCTTCTTCGTCTTCTTCTTCTCCTCTTCGTCATCTTCGTCTTCTTCTTCTTCCTCTTCTTCTTTCTATTCTTAAGTCTCCTTCATTTCTAGGGTGGCCCCGGTGGGCTCGAATCTTGTTCATCTTCCTGTTGAAGTGATGCTTTTCTGCAATTGAATTGTGCACCTTTGCGACTTGGTTCATCTTCTTGCTCAACTTCCTGTGTTCCCCCCCCCCCCCCCCCCCCCACGGCACCCCCAAACACCCCCCCCCCTAACACCACTCCAAAACGCAGAAAAATGTTGCAAAATGGTCTATACCAGCAAGCCCCTCAGAACCCTCAAACAGCCCCTCAGGCAGCCCAACCCACTGGGCCCACACACCCTTAGCAGACCCCCGACCACCCCCTCCTGGACATCCCCCCCCCCTCCCCCACAAAAAAAATGTTGACGACCCAAGTTTCTCAACGGATTTGGGCTGTACTCAGCAAGCGCAGTACAACCCTCAAATCAGATTAAAAAAAAAATCAGTGGAACGCTGTTTTCTGACTGGTCGGTTGGAATACGGTCGGCAGTCGGGGTCAGCGGTCAGTGGGGATGCAACCCTGATGGAAACCGACTCTTCGGACCATCAGAAATGGGTAGGGGATGAACCAGGCCATAGGGTTTCTACCTAGATAGCTTGATTCGTTGACAAACCTGACACCCAGTCACAAACGTGTGTGCAAATCCTTTCATACCAGACGAATCAAACTGCTGCAATAGACTTGCGTACGTTTTTTCGAAACCGATGTGTCCACTCCGGCAATGAGCCAAATCCAAGAAGTGAGTGTGGAGAGGCTTATGGTTGGGTACACACAAACGGTCATGCTTCCCGTAACGTTGAAATAGCAAAGCCTCGTTCTCGTGGAAGCCAGACTGACTGTTAGGGTCAGCCTTGAGCTGCTCAAGGATGGGGCTAAGCTCCGAATCCTTGGCAGTTTGCTCAACTAGTTCCTCCTTCAGTTTTTCTTGGAGGTCGTAGGAGCTCACAAGGCAAGTCATATACTCCGGGTGGCAAAACAATGCATCAACAACTCGATTGTAACAACCCTTTTTGTACTTCAATTCAAAATAAAAAATATCAATCTCATGCAACCAATGGGTCCAGGTAGTGGATAAGATAGTTTGTTCCTTGATCCACTTCAGAGTCTGATGATCTGAGAAGACTTTGAAGCGGCGTCCCAAAAGATAGTGTTTCCAATGGTCTAGTGCCTCTTGCAAAGCATAAAGTAGCTACCTTTGTGTTGGGCATGCATTTGCTGTGGTACTCGAGAAGACGCAAGGCATCACCATCATCTTGTTGCGACACTGCGCCAATCCCATATTGGCTCACATCCGTAGTAACTACAAATGTGAGTTTAGGATCTGCAATGTGGAGCACAAGATGACACCAAGGCCTCTTTCAAGGCTTGAAAGGCAGTTTCACATGCACCATCCCAGGTATAAGATACATTTTTGCTAGTAAGTCTCGATAATGGGTGCACAATGATAGAGAATCGAGAGACAAACTTCCAGTAATATGACGCAAGGCCAAGAAAAGAACGCTGCTCACAGACATTCAAGGGTTGAGGCCACTTGCGAATGACCTCAACCTTGGTGGCCTCAGGCTCAAGGCCTGCAACAGACAAACGGTGCTCAAGATAGATGACGCTATCCCTCGCAAACTAAGATTTCTCTAAGTTGAGATGGAGTTACGTTTTCTTGAGGATGTTCAACACTTCCTCAAGGTGTCTCAGGTGTTCTTCCATCGATTTGCTAAAGATCAAGATATCATCTAGATAGACAACAACAAACTGACCGATATGTCCACAAAGCACCTTGTCCATGAGACATTGAAAGGTGGTCGACGCATTTGTGAGATCGAATGGCATAACGGTAAATTCGTACAGTCCATCGCGAGTCTTTAATGTGATTTTGTGTTGGTCCGCAGGATCGACTTCCATCTGGTGGTATCCAGACGAGATCGATCTTGGAGAAGACCTTGCAACCACCTGCAGCATCAAGCAAGTCATCAATACTTGGCGAAGGATAAACATTTTTTCTTGTGATTCGATTAAGTCCACGGTAATCAACACACAACCGGAATTTGCCTCCTTTCTTGGGAACAAACAAAAGAGGTGCACCAAATTCAAATTCACTACCAGGCTTAATCCACCCTCTGTCAATCAAGTCATCAATTTGCCTCCGCAACTCCTCCAACTCACCAGATCCCATATAGTGCACACAACCCGTTGGAGGAATGTTGCCTTCGATCAACTTGATCCAGTGCTTGACCGAACGCATGGGAACTCCACGTGGCTCAGCTAGAACTTCCGGGAATCGATTGAGAAGGCTTTGGATGTTTGCTGGAATTTTCAAAGGCAGAGGATCCGAATCAGGTGCAGGTAAATCATGATGCAAATTAGCAGCCAAAGCAAAAAAAATTGAAGTAGAATCGTTTAGACGAGAAGTTGATGGAGAAAAAGTAGAAGTAGATACATTAGAAGTAGAACCAACATGCAAAGTAGTAGTAGTACTAGTCACAAAAGTAGAAGGCACATGGGTAGGGCAAACAAAGGCTATGTACAACTATTCGTTTTCCTTCCGTCGACGTCACTTTCTGCAGAATTGCATGGCATTGAGAAAAATCACGGGGGACTCGTGCTTCTCATCCAAGAGAATAGGAAACTCATTCCCCAAAGCATCTCATACTACGAACAGTGAATCCTTCCACACAGTTCTAACACATTCGGACTGCAACCTACACAAGCCAAGAACCGCGTCGAAGGGAAACTTGTCGAGGATGTAGAAGTTCGATGTGTGTAATTGTTTTGCCTTTGTCAAAGGTAATGTGCACACCTTTAACTGCATGCATGGAAGTGCCAATCTCTTTGTTGGCCACTTGGATCTAACAAGTATTCTGCAATTCCACTTGCTTCATTCCCAAGCCCGATCCACCCGAGAGGTCTTGTCCCTTCGGTTTGACTAAATCCCGCATGAGGGAAAACAAATTTGTATAGTCCGCGGGCCTGAGCCCCAGGTGATAAGTTACTGTAGAGGGAACCCTACCTTTAATCACATCCAAGCACGATTGCACGCTCATCTCCAAATCAAAAGTAGCAAAGAACCTACTAACGTACTGCTGCAGACTATGCATGGTGCCCGTCCACTTGTTGTGGTTGAGCTTGTTGAGTCTAACTTTATTTGCAGCATGTGGATCAACATTTTGCTTGATTAGGAGATCCTCGAGTGTGGCTATTGGTGAAGCCTTCAACCAGTTGTTTAGGTTATCCTTTTGTAGCCTGACTGTAGAGCTTGGACTTCTAGGAACCCCCCTATGACGGGTTCTAAATTGGTCCATAGGACTGGCGATTGAGTAACTGGAGGTGTCCCCATCACATAAAAGTAGGAATGCATAGAGCTGATTCAAGACTCAATGTCGTCCTTCCCGTTCTACTTAGACGGGATCGGTGCCACCTTCCTGTCCACGTAGGGTAAGCTGTAGTTGGGACCAACAGTTGCTGGGTTCAAACTTGGGGCTGCAGGAGTTCCAAAGTTCCCAGCGCTGCTACTTGCCACTGCAGCAGCAGCAGCAGCAACAACGACGAGGTCTGCGTATGCTGCAGGTCCCGATAGGCTGTTGACTGCACTCGAAGAAGAAGAAGAAGAAGAAGACACAGTAGGAGGGGCAAGAATGGAGTGATTCGCAGCATTAGAAGCAGGGTAGGCCGGAGGGAGGGCAAACTGGACCTGCTGCAGATTTGCAAACTGCTGCAGCTGAGAGTCTTGATCCAGCGACCCGGCCTGGCCAGATTGAGTACATCGACCCGATACTAATTCCCAACCGTCGTTTGTTGGTTAGATGATGTGGACCGAGGATGATGACCTTTGTTCGGTCCGTTTTGTGTGCAACTGGGGTGCGCGGTTCCTAGCATAATGCTACACAGGTCTCTTCCAGATAAAATAGGAAATTGATAGTTCGTAGATGACGCCAGATCGCACAGAAGTGAGTCTGAAAGGTGGGCCGCAGGCCTGCGCACCTCCTGAAACTGCCCAACTCCCTCCATCATCCCGCAAGTAACCTCGTCGTCTTGCAGGGAATGGTGGAACGAACGGTTGAGCGATGGCGTCCCTCTTGCCCAATCTGGCTCTGTTCTGTGAACGTACAACAAATCAAAGCAAAGGGCAACAATCATGACACAATGGAGAATTGAGTGGCGTATAAGGTGCGAGCCAGGCGGCGAACTGTGAGGTAAAGTGTGCAAAACATCTTAGCCGAGATCCCCTCGGCAGCGAGTGCTCTAACCAAAGATAAACTCCCATTTCAAGCAAGACAGAGAAATGAAGCTGACGTCAATAGATTTGGGTCGAAGGGTCCCTTCTTGTTTGGGCCGGCTCCCACTGGTCCCGATAGGTCCCAGGTGGGTTGTGGCCAAGTCCCAACCAAGAAGAGTTCCACAAGGGCTTACTTTCTGCCCCCTATCGTATTGAAAAACGAATTTCAACTTCAGGGAGAACTACTAACTACAACCGTTCAAAAATGAAAAGACAAAGCATAGTAGAATGGTATGGCACTCGAGTCAAGATACTTCATCCATCCAATCATCAGGTGAGAAAGTAGTTTGCACGCTCATGCACACAATCAAGACCATAGAGGAGTAGGGAAAGAAACCTAGAAACAACCCCAACAGGACATCGATACCATGCACACATTCAGGGGCATCCCGTAGGTGCACGACACTTACCTGAGTGGCCTGAGCTTCGAGATGAAGTATAACTCACCCCCCTCTCATATGGTCCTCCTGACCCAATCGGCATCATCTACACTAGTGTCCTATCACCTAGGAGGGTCTATCCTCATCCAAGGTACAACACCGGATCCCCTGTCGATGTTGAGGACCAAAGTAGCAACTTGCAGTCCGTAGGTGCAGATATGGCTGCCACCCTCAAGCTCGCCAACTTGAGGGGAGCCCTAAAGTCGCCCAATGTCCTCCTTGAAGTCCAGATTCCAGTTGCAGGTGCCTCTCTTTATCACCTCTCACAAAGTGCTTCACGAAGCTCCTCCTTGTGTCCCGCCACTCCAATCTTACACTCTTACAACCTAGTGGGGTCAAGTGCCGACCCTGCATGACCCTACCAGGTGGGGGCAGCTTCCCTACACCACGCTGCCCCACTTCCCTCAACAAACCAACCCTAACCCATAAGTGGTGCGCTCAACCACTTGGATTAGGGTTAAGGCAGCAAAGTCAACTCTTGCCAGCAAGTTGAATCCGCTCTGATACCAATGTTACGATCCTGGCCAATTTCGAAGTGCAAAATTCACGAGAAAGCACATTGTCGTCCAAGTGCAAAAGAAATGAATGAGCTTGAGAGGAGGGAGAGATAAAGAAGAAGAAGAAGATGAAAGAAAGAAGAAGAAGATGTACACCAGCAAGAGACCAACGATAATCCTTCCTCTTCTCACCAATCCACTCCTTGCTGCCTCCACTCTTATTCAAACAATAAATAATAATAATGATGAATGGCTGAACCAGAATCAAGTCCCACTTCTACTGCTTGGCATAACTAGAGGTCCACCATAGCCATGGACTCCTTCCTCCTCTTCAGTCAGGGCACGGCTATGGCGGACTACTGAGGGCCTAGCCCTGTTGTCCAAAAGAAAATGCAAGGCAGCTATGTCCACTGCTGCTCAGGCTGCCATGCGTGACTCTGCCTCGAAGCCTTCCTGGTGCGGCACAACCCCCACTGGGGCCTTCCAGATGCAGCGCCTAACAAGGCGATGAAGATGGTGTTCACCATAGCCAGGTAGGTACCTCACCACTCTCCTCCCTAGTCCCCTTCTTCCTCCTCCTACCAGTAGAGCTCCACCATAGCCGAGGTGGAAGCTCCCGACCTTCTTCCTCCTCCCAGTGCTGCTCCTACCAGCGTTTTTCTTCCAGCAGCGTCCAGAATGCTGGCGCTCACTCAAGCAGCATGTCGCCCAAACTTGCATACGACAAATGATTTAGAGCCCAGTGCTCTACCTGAGGATATAGCGGCCTACCTGCCTCTTGGGCGGTGACTTCCAGGCCGCCCAACCTCCAAGCAACCGGTACCTCCTCCCTTTCGGAGGGAAACATCATTGCAGGCTCTGATATCGTCCGCATAGGCCCTAGACTCAGACTACTTGGACTGGTGCCGCATAGACCTAGTCTACCAACTACTGGGCCTCTAAAAATGCCAACTTTGGTCTTCTTCTACTCGGCCCCCAGTCCCAGACACATCTACCGCTACTTGAGTGGTACCAGCCTACCCACTACTTGAGTGTCTTTCCTGCTGCTCGAAGTGTTGTGGGCCTACTCCCACCACTTGAGTGTTTTCCCCGCTGCAGCGCTCAAAGTCACGGCCACAGGTAATTACTGGCCCTGCGGGGCCTCCAAACAAACAAGTACCCTTGCGGGTCAGAGACACACTCAGGCCGACAAGCACTCAGACAGGCACGGAGACCAGCAAGCATGCACATACACAGACTTAGAAAACTCAGCAGAACGCGGGAATCTCAGCTAGGCATTCATTCCAGCGGCAAAAAAATCAGCGGTGTTCTCAGCTGTGTTTTGGCAGGTCATTACAGAATGGAGTTCAATGAACATGAGCTCACTTATCTCTCCCAGAAAGGGTGTACAGGCCAACGAGTTTGGCTGCTCTATAAAAGACTTGCCTGTCCCAGCCAAAGTACGAGGCTGCAAGAGCACTGGGCTGTTTTATCGCTGGGCATGTGATGAACGCTGGCTGACTTACATTTGACCCGAACTGTCTCCTCTGACCCCTAGATGCGGTTTCTGGTTATGGTGTGGCCCTTTGAGTGGTCTGTCCCTCACTGGAGCATGTGGCTATGGTCTGTACCTCTATCACTGGTGCTTCCTAGTTACACACTGAAGGCATAAGAGGAGGTTCGTGCTTGTTTGTACTGGAGGCTGCGAGACTGCTGGGCTGTTTATCGCTGGGCATGTGCTGAATTCTGCCTGACTTACCCTTTGACCCAAGCTGGCTGCTCTTCCCCCTAGCTGCAGTATCTGGTTATGGTGTGGGTGGTCTGTCCCTCACTGGAGTATATGGCTATGGTTTGTCCTTCGATCACTGCGACTACCGAGATACACACTGTATTGAGTACAAGGAGGTTGGTGCTTGTCCTGTGAAGATAGGGGCAGGGGAGCATCTGTGTGCCTCCCACCTGGTCAGTCCAGGCCGCCAGGGAGTCAAGCATAAAGTGCGGCGGAAAACTTTCAGTCAGTTTATCAGGACATCGAAATAAATAGGCCGGAGGCCGTGGGGGGTCATTGTTTGACAGGAGAATGACTCTCAAGATGTTGGTTTTTGGTGCTTAGTTAGGGTTCATGAACTCGATCAGACGATGATAGTATGAATTGCGGGTTGGAGTAAGGAGGAGAAGGATTGTCAAGAAGAGGGGGGTTACATCCATGTTGTCACTTTTGACTGTTCTGATGTAAATCATTTGTGATTGGAGATTGATGCAAGTCTGCAGGTACATTTATGAACATATATCAGGTGGAGCAGAACAAGGTCTGAGGATGTTAGCAAAACTATCACCGTCTATAACTAAATAATGCAGTACCACTAACCTGACAACAGCAGTGCAACAACGGCTATTAGAGAGCACCTATTCTTCAGCTGTTAGAGAGGGTAAACAGTTCAATGCAAAGGAGAATCTGAATGCTTGTCGTTTTTTATCTGAGTTTGATGAAATGACCACATTCTCTCTCTCTCTCTCTCTCTCTCTCTCTCTCTCTCTCTCTCTCTCTCTCTCTCTCTCTCTCTCTCTCTCTCTCTCTCTATGTCTGTCTCTCTCTCTCGCGCGCGCGCGCACGCGCGCGCATGCGCTTTTCGTGTGTTGATTTTAAACAGATGCGGAGGCATTACTCCTACAACATGGACGCAATGAATTGGAGGAAAAGGCAACACCGAGCTGGCTCATTTTCTTAAGACAAGTAAGCAGACAAGATTGGGAAAACCCCATCAGGTCTAGTTCACTTGTATCTTCGGTTCCAGAAACAGGCTGGAAAGGGATGGTGTCATTATTTTTTTTGCTTAAATCACTAGTACCTCCGAGCCTCTTTCTCCTGATGCTGATTGCACTGCGTGCCAAAGAAAATGAGCTGCCAGCGGTGGACTTCCTTACGTTCTTCTGTTACGGATCCTGTCCAATTCCAAAGTGCAAATACACAAGGAAAGACAACGTCGTCCAATTGCAAAAGAAATGAAAGAAGTTCAGAGAACTTGAAAGGAGAAAGGGTCAAAGGAAGAAGAAGAAAGAAGAAAGAAAGAAGAAGAAGAAGATGTACACCAGCAAAATACCAATGACAAATCCTCTTCTTTCGCCAAGTTCGCCAACCAATCTCCTCCTCCTTATCTCCCCCAGTGCTAGTGTGCAGCGCTGGGTGAGAGGAGCACCAGGGCTTCCACCTTGGCTATGGTGGACAGCGCCTGGTGGGAGGAGGAAGAAGCAGAGGACTAGGGAGGAGAGTGGCCAGAGGTACTTACCTGGCTATGGTGGGTGCCATCTTCATCTCCTTGGTGGCGCAGCATCTGGAAGGGCCCAAGTGGGGTAGCGCTACATCAAGAAGGCTTCAGGGCAAAGTCAGGCATGGTGGCCTGAAGCGTAGAGGACATAGATGCTTTCGGGGCAGGGCCCCTGGTAGGGCTGGAAGTTGAGGGCAAGTTGGGCAGCGTGGTATGGGGAAGCTGGTTGGGATGTGTAGGGCCGACATATGACCTGGCCAGATTGTTGGAGTGTAAGTTTGGGGTGGTGAGGGTCTTGGAGGGACTTCGTGAGACAGTTTGGGCGAGGTGACAGTGAGAGGCACTCACACCTGGCATCTGGACTTAAGGGAGACATTGGGCGACTTTAGGGCTTCCCTCAAGTAGGGAAGCTTGAGGAAAGTGGCCATATCTGCATCGAAGGACTGCAAGTTGCTACTTTGGTCTTCAACATCGGTAGGGGATCCGGCCTACCTGACCCCGACGACTGCGCATCCCGCGGCCTCGGCCATGGCCGAGGAGGTCGGCCGCGACCCCGCAACTGACTTTTTCTGTGGCCTCGCCACGCGCAGGTGAAGCCGCGCGCCCAAAATCGGGGGGCGCGCATCACCTGTGCATGGCGTCCCCTGCCATAATCAACTGAAAAAAAAAACAAGTGAAATTTTGGGGAGGTCGTTCAGGTGGGGAAAAAAATAATAATAGTAATCCCCAACAAAGATAACCATTGGGGTCGTTTTCAGGTGGGGAAAAAAATAACAATAGTAGTCCCCAACAAAGATAACCATTTTTTTTAATTTTTTTTTTAATGTTTTGTGTCTGTCTGTCTGTCTGTCTGTCTGTCTGTCTGTCTGTCTCTCTCTCTCTCTCTCTCTCTCTCTCTCTCTCTCTCTCTCTCTCTCTCTCTCT